GTAAAGGAGGAGCAAATACAGAACCCTTGAGGTAAGTGGCTGTCTGTAGTGTGTGTTTGTGGGTTACTTGCTGTGTGCTGAGCTTGTGTTTCTGTTTGTTTTGTTTGTTTGTTTGTTTGTTTGAAGGAGCGTGTGCTGTAGCCGGCAGTTGGAAGCTATAAGATTCTAAAGGTTTGAAATCTAAAAGCCTCTGTTAATTGGCTGAGCCTTAGTCAGGGGGTGGGGCTATCAGGAAAGCCAGGGCTTTATGAAGCAGTGAGTCAGCGACCAGGAGCAGGAAACACAGAGTTTTGAGAGGGAGTTTGGAAGGGAAGTCAGAAGGGGCCACGGTACACTTGCCATTTTTACAATTTAGTTTAAAGATTTTAATCAAAACTTCCTGATTTAATTAGACACCCTATCAATAACCTAGGTAGCTGTAGGAGAGAATGCAGGCAGAAGCCCAGCAGCAGGGTGTAGCATGCATGATTACCTGCACTATGGGTAGGTGCCGTATGTGTGCATTCGGTGCATGGAGCTCCTGGCCCTCAGAGACCAAGTCCAGGCTTTGGAGGCCAGGGTATCTGAACTGGAGGAGCTGAGGGAGGCAGATGTACGTAGATGAGGCTTTCTGGGGCACTGTAGAATTGTCCCACCTCCGGTCAGACAACCCCTGTGCTGTTAAGGAAGATGAAAGGCTCAGGGAAGAAGAGCAGTCAACGGGAGCAGAGGGAAATCTTCCGATAGTTGGGACACTCCTTCCAGATGTTGGAGTATACTCTCGCACTGAGGTTACCTCTCCGGGGGAGGGAACTCGAGTTAGTAAGAAAAGGCAGTTGTTAGTAATGGGAGATTCGATCATTAGAAATGTAGATAGCTGGGTTTGTGATGACAGGAAGAACCGTATGGTGACTTGCCTGCCTGGTAAGAAGATTGCGGATCTCTCAAGGCTTCTAGCTAGACTTGAGTGTAGTGTTGGAGAGGAGCCGGTGGTCGTGGTACATGTAGGTACCAATGACATAGGGAAGGGTAGCAGAGACTTCCTGGAGGCCAAACTGTGGCTACTAGGAAAGAGATGGAAAACCAGGAACTCTATGGTGGCATTCTCAGAAATGCTTCCAGTTCCATGCACAGGGCCAGGTAGGCAGGCAGAGCTTCAGAGTCTCAAGAGAAAACCAGCCTTCCTTTTCCCTTTTTCTTTCTTCCTTTTTAACAGAAGGAACTGGGGAAACTTTTGGGATGGGGGGAGCCTATACAGGAAGGATGGACTCCACCTAAACCAAAGTGGATCCAGACTGCTGGCACTTAACATTAAAAAGGTCGCAGAACAGTTTTTAAGTTAAGAGATGGGGGAAGTCCGATTTGTGCAGAGGAGCATGTGGATCGGACAGAGACGTCTTTTAGAGGAGAGCCTATTGAAAGAGATTCTCTAGGTTTTAGTCAGGAGGAGAGGATGGAAGAGGATAAAGTATGGGCCAGATCAGATGAAAAACATTCATGTAAAAAAGAATCTGACACATCAGAAAAGGGCAGACAAACAAACAGTAAAAAGTTTTTAAAGTGCTTGTACCCAAATGCTAGAAGTCTAAAAAATAAGGTGGGTGAACTAGAGTGCCTTGTGTTAAAGGAGGATACTGATATAATAGGCATCACAGAAACTTGGTGGAGTGAGGACAATAAATGGGACACAATCATTCCCAGGTACAAAATATATCGGAAGGACAGAACAGGTTGTATGGGTGGGGAAGTAGCACTATACGTGAGAGAAAATTTAGAATCAAATGAAGTAAAAATCTTAAATGAATCAACATGTTCCATAGAATCGCTACGGATAGTAATTCCCTGCTCTAATATGAAAATAACAGTAGGGATCTATTATCAACCACCTGACCAGGACAGTAATAGTGACTATGAAATCCTAAGGGAAATTAGAGAGGCTATCAAAATAAAGAGCTCAATAATAATGGGGGATTTCAACTATCCCCATATTGACTGGGTACATGTCACCTCAGGATGAGATGCAGACACAAAATGTCTTGATACCTTAAACGATTGCTTCTTGGAGCAGCTGGTACAGGAACCTACAAGGGTAGAGGCGATTCTCGATTTAGTCCAGAGTGGCGCACAGGATCTGGTCCAAGAGGAAACTATAACAGGACTGCTTAGAAATAATGACCATAATATAACAACATTTAACATTCCTGTGGTGGGAAGAACACCTCATCAGCCCAAAACTGTGCCATTTATTTTCAAAAAGGGGAACTATGCAAAAATGAGGACATTAGTTAAACAGAAATTAAAAGGTACAGTGACTAAAGTAAAATCCCTGCATGTTGCATGGATGCTTTTCAAAGACATCGTAATAGAGGCGCAAATTTAAACGTATACCCCAAATTAAAAAACACAGTAGAAGAACTAAAAAAGAGCCACCGTGGCTTAACAACCATGTAAAAGAAGCAGTGAGAGATAAAGAGACGTCTTTTAAAAAGTAGAAGTCAAATCCTAGTGAGGTAAATAGAAAGGAACATAAACATTGCCAAATTAAGTGTAAAAATGTAATAAGAAAAGCCAAAAAGGAGTTTGAAGTACAGCTAGCCAAAAACTCAAAAGGTAATAACAAAATGTTTTTTAAGTACATCAGAAGCAGGAAGCTTGCTAAACAACCAGTGGGGCCCCTGGACGATCAAGATACAAAAGGAGCACTTAAAGACGATAAAGAATAAAATTGTCAGACACACAGAACAAAATAATTTGTAGGGCAAAAGTCAACATGGTTTCTGTAAAGAGAAATAATGTCTTACTAATCTATTAGAGTTCTTTGAAGGGGTCAAGAAACATGTGGTCAAGGGGGATCCAGTACATATAGTGTACTTAGATTTCCAGAAAGCCTTTGACAAGGTCCCTCACCAAACCCTCTGACGTAAATTAAGTTGTCATGGGAAAAGTGGGAAGATCCTTTCATGGACTGAGAATTGATTAAAAGACAGGAAACAAAAGGGTAAGAATAAATGGTAAATTTTCAGAATGGAGAGGGGTAACTAGTGGTGTTCCCCAAGGGTCAGTCCTAGGACCAATCCTATTCAAATTATTCATAAATGATCTGGAGAAAGGGGTAAACAGTGAGGTGGCAAAGTTGACAGACGATACTAAACTGCTCAAGGTAGTTAAGACCAAAGCAGACTGTGAAAAACTTCAAAAAGATCTCACCAAACTAAGTGACTGGGTAACAAAATGGCAAATGAAATGTAATGTGGATGAATGTAAAGTAAAGCACATTGGAAAAAATAACCCTAACTATACATATAGTATAATGGGAGCTAATTTAGCTACAACTAATCAGGAAAGAGATTGTGGAGTCATTGTGAAGACATCCACGCAGTGTGCAGCGGTACTCAAAAAAGCAAACAGGATGTTAGGCATCATTAAAAAAGGGATAGAGAATAAGACTGAGAAAATCTTATTGCTCTTATATAAATACATGGGACGCCCACATCTTGAATACTGCGTACAGATGTGGTCTCCTCATTGCAAAAAAGATATACTGGCATTAGAAAAGGTACAGAGAAGGGCAACTAAAATGATTAGGGGTTTGGAACAAGTCCCATGTGAGGAGAGATTAAAGAGACTGGGACTTTTCAGCTTGGAAAAGAGGAGACGTAGGGTGTGTCTAGACTACATGCCTCCGTCAACGGAGGCATGTAGATTAGCCAGATCGGCAGAGGGAAATGAAGCCGTGATTAAAATAATCGCGGCTTCATTTAAATTTAAATGGCTGCCCCGCTCTGCCGATCAGCTGTTTGTCGGCAGATCGGGGCAGTCTGGATGCGACGCGCCGACAAAGAAGCCTTTCTTGATCGGCACAGGTAAACCTGGTTTCACGAGGCATACCTGTGCCGATCTTTAAATTTAAATGAAGCCGCGATTATTTTAATCGCGGCTTCATTTCCCTCTGCCGATCTGGCTAATCTACATGCCTCCATCGACGGAGGCATGTAGTTTAGACGTACCCTAAGGGGGGATATGATAGAGGTATATAAAATCATGAGTGGTGTGGAGAAAGTGAATAAGGAAAAGTTAATTACTTGTTCCCATAATATAAGAACTAGGAGCCACCAAATGAAACTAATGGGAAACAGGTTTAAAACAAATAAAAGGAAGTTTTTCTTCACACAGCACACAGACAATCTCTGGAACTCCTTGCCTGAGGAGGTCATGAAGGCTAGGACTATAACAGGGTTTAAAAGAGAACTAGATACATTCATGGAGGTTAAGTCCATTAATGGCTATTAGCCAGTATGGGTAAGGAATGGTGTCCCTAGCCTCTGTTTGTCAGAGGGTGGAGATGCATGGCAGGAGAGAGATCGCTTGATCATTACCTGTTCGATTCACTCCCTCTGGGATACCTGTTGGCAGACAGGGTACTGAGCTGGATGGACCTTTGGTCTGACCCAGAATGGCCATTTTTATGTTATAATGTAGCTTATGTGTGTGGGGGATGGTTTATATATACACATGATTATAAAAAGTTTTCCTTCTACCGAGCTCACATTTATGCAGAACAGAATGACACAGTTTAGTCTGAATAATCTACTTCTTAGGTTGACAAAGATCTCATGATAAGCGCATTAATTATATACATTATTTCCACTAAAAATGTTCAAAAGCTTTATTTTTTGAAAGAAAAAACTGTTCTGTAGGGCTATTTACAAGTGGTGTAAGTCCTTCAGCGTGAGAGAGATAAAAAGAATTTATTTCTTCATACAAATGTTTTCTTCAATATACTTCTTGTTTTAAAGTTAAGTAGAAAGATAAATCTTTAGAATACAAATATTTTAAATTCCAAGAATTCTTTTTAAATTTACCAAATAGTCATACTTTAATTTTCAGTCTCTAATATTTTTAAAATAAAATACAACGATAAAATTGGGGAGCTGTTTTTAAAGATTTTTTCAAGTGCTAAAGTATGTAAGTATAATAAAATGAGGGAAGACATAACTTTTCTCATTCCCTTTTCATCTTACCTGAAGTGTAAGGCATTTAACAGCATTCCAGACTGTCCCAATACATTCTTTCATTCTCTCTTCAGGATTTCTGCTGGTTTCAGATGAGGTCAACATGGCTTTCAGTGGAAGCGACAGAGGCCTAGATTCTAAAGCAAACAGCATATAGTTACTGGAACAGTATATATCTTCACTCAGTGACTAATTACTAGTATTGAGGAGAGTACATTATTTTTGTTCTTTAAAGTCTATTAATAAATTGTCTCCACTCCCCAATTTAAAATGTATGTTTCAGTGACTGTATTTTATAGCAGAAACTCGAGCAAGCTAGTGTTGTTTTATTTTACTAGGTTTATGTTGGAAAGGGAGATCATAGAATAAAAAGATCTCAGAACACTAGGACTGGAAGGGACCTCGAGAGGTCATCGAGTCCAGTCCCCTGCCGTCATGGCAGGACCAAATACTGTCTAGACAATCCCTGATAGACATCTATCTAACCTACTCTTAAATATCTCTAGAGATGGAGATTCCACAACCTCCCTGGGCAATTTATTCCAGTGATTAACAACCCTGACAGGAACTTTTTCCTAATATCCGACTTAAACCTCCCTTGCTGCAAGTATAAACCTATTGCTTCTTCTTCTATCCTCATAGGCCAGGAAGAAAATTTTTTCTCCCTTCTCCTTGTGACACCCTTTTAGATATCTGGAGTATTGTGGAGTATTTTAGACATCTGGAGTATTGTGTCCAGTTCTGGGCCCCCCACTATAGAAAGGATGTGGACGCATTCGAGAGGGTCCAGCAGAGGGTGACCAAAATGATTACGGGGCTGGAGCACATGACCTATGAGGAGAGACTGAGGGATTTAGGTTTGTTTAGTCTGCAGAAGAGAAGAGTGAGGGGGGATTTGACAGCAGCCTTCAACTTCCTGAAGGGAGGTTCCAAATAGGATGGAGAAAGGCTGTTCTCAGTAGTGATGGATGGCAGAACAAGGTGCAACGGTCTCAAGTTACAGTGCAGGAGGTCTAGGTTGGATATTAGGAAAAACTATTCAATAGGAGGTTGGTGAAGCACTGGAATGGGCTACCTTGGGAGGTGGCGGAATCTCCATCCCTAGAGGTTTTTAAGTCTCGGCTTGACAAAGCCCTGGCTGGGTTCATTTAGTTGGGACTGGTCCTGCTTTGGGCAGTGGGCAGTTCTATTCATGATTCTGCCAGACCCCAATTAAACAAGAAACTAAACTGTGCACTTTTCGGGTTGTAACAAAATTATCATTTTCATGGCATGCCCTAATAAGCAGATCCTGGGATACTGAGAGGAAGGTAAAAAACCTACACCACTCAGGACAAGGAAAACATCCTTCCCAGGCCCAAAAAAGTGACTAGTATGATGCTGACAGAAAAATTCAAAAATCTGATTCTGTTCTAATCTTAAGGTAGGAAAGGGAGCTATTGCTTCCAAGCACACAATGACACCCAGGGCACAAGAAAGGATTTATGGGTCCTTCCCACAAATGAGAATAAGCCAATGGATTTCTGCTATACCCCTCCCCTGAGTCAATCAGCCCCCCTTATGCTTTCCTCTAGCCAATGAAGGTGGCTGAGCCACAACTAGGAAAATCCTTAAAGTTACTTTCTTTTTCCTGATGGCCCAGACAAAGTGTGCCTACCTGCGAACAATTGTTAAATTTCATATTTAGTTATGTGTTGTTCTGGCTATTTCACAAACTGGCTTACTCTTACATCTTGCTTATTTAATAATTTTATTTAATACTTATTTTGATAAACAATATTGTGAACTATTTTTGTAGTTACCAATACATTCCATAAAGCCACATAATGTATTATTTTTCACTAAATCTCGCACTCAGAATTTCAATTTGACAGATAAACTTTGAATTTATAAATTTTGACAGATAAATGTATGACATGCTCTTTATTTTGTCTTATTCACATAATTTAGTCACAGAATAAATTGAAAAATAAAAATAGTTTTTAAAATCCAAATTTAAAATTAAGCAATTTCTATACAGGCAGTCCCCGGGTTACGTACAAGATAGGGACTGTAAGTTTGTTCTTAAGTTCAATCTGTATGTAAGTCGGAACTGGCGTCCAGATTCAGACACTGCTGAAACTGACCGCCAGTTCTGACTTACATAGAGAATCAACTTAAGAACCCCAGGCGTCCCCAAGTCAGCTGCTGCTGAAACTGATCAGCAGCTGATTCCAGGAAGCCCGGGGCAGAGCAACTCTGCCT